TGTCCTATCTGTCCAGTCCATGCACCAAGTTCTTATATCAGTGATCATCACTTGCATCTCAGGTTAGGTCTACCCTGCGATTAGAAGTATGGTTTCAGCATGCTGAGGCATTCCTGATCTAAGCCAGCAGGTTTCAATGTGGACCAAAGAAGCCTGGCTAGGATCCTGCCTATACGCTTACCCGCTGACGCTGGGGTAATTTTGCTGCTCTAGGTATCTCAACCATGTAGACAAAAACTAGCTAGGTAGCTGTGCATGTGTCTCAATTGCTCCTCTGGCTACAATGTAAACATGCTTCAAAATGTTATAAAATAATAAAGGACATAAAATAATATTTCTCCATTACATTAAGTAGATAAAATTTGATCTACTTTTTTGAGGGCGAGTCGGAGATGGGTTGGGAGGACGTGTAACAGCAGTATTAAAGCTATCTTGAGAGAATAAGTCTTATTTAGTTTTGAATGCAGGGAGCTTAATAGTCATCTTGATTTTATCTGGCAATGACTTCTGTATGTCTGCTCTGGCTCCTGTAAAAGTTCCATCTACTGCTGTTGTCTACTAGCCCCATAATTGGCTGAAAATCTTGTTTAGTGGAATACAACTCTTGTGAGAGGTAAGAGTTGCAGAGGAGAGTGGGTGAGACACTTAGGTAGCTCTGAATTTCTGAGTCTTCTATCAAGATAATATTGTAATAGCTGTGCTACAGGACAGAGTGCACTCTAGCAATATTCTGGCCTTTTTTAATAGGATGGTGAGGCTCATTTTTCTTTTTCCTAAGAAGCTGTAAGGCATTTTCTTTATCCTTAGTCATGCCTGAAGACTTTACAGAAAATGACTGGTGTAGATTCAGACATCAAACTCTAATCAAGTGCAGAAAGTATTGCTTTGTTATCCTCTTAGACCAATGGGCCCAACCTTGCTAAAATGTGCTTTTTTGTCATTGATGGGATTGTCTGTCCAGTAGCGTCTACAACCCAAGACAACATACTATGCCCGATTACTTCAGTGCATTATGTTGTCTTGAGTTTACTCTGTACTTGATGAGATGTATAATTAGCATAATAAATCAAATCGTATCTTTCATTTTCCTAATGTAATTCCATGGACGCCAATAGCTCAATTCTCTCAAGAATTACTTTGGAACCGTGGGTTTATCTTTACATGTTTTCTGTGAGTTCCAGTTTTCAAAGTGTTTGAAAAAATGCCTTGTACATCTTCCCAAAATTGTTCCAGTGAACTTCTAAAGAGATGTCCTGGCATTTAAGTCCATTGCTTTATCTAGGGAAACAAGATGTTCTTTGTCTTTAGAAAGTGGTCCAAAACACTCACTTCCCTGAAAACAACAATAAAAATTATTTCAGTGGGCTGGCTCTCATAGCTCTCCATATGGAAGGGTAAAATGCTGTATAATCAGTCCTATGAGGTGCTAGCGTACAGCATGCTAACACCCATACAAGCCACCCCCATATTACTGTGCATCTACCAAACCCATATGACGTGCCTGTCTTGGCAAACAACTGTAACAGGCAATTGTTGGATTCAAAAATCAACAAGCAGGATGTGTAAAAAGTGTATTAAGTATAAACGTCTGGCATAACAGTACCAGATATGAAGTAGATATGAAAAAACAGAATAAAAATGTGTCAAAGTACTTCCAGCTCTTCTTTTACAAATTATAAAGCATTCCTACACAAACTGGTCAAATGCAAGATTCACCAGCTTTGCACATAAGTCCCGATTCTCTAGTGGGGGACACGGTGCCTTTCACTGACTTCACTAGGGTCCCATCTGGGTACACAAGTGTACTGGGACAGACCGCATTGTAGGGTTATGGGGCATTATATTGCTAGAAGTGTATAGGGCCTTAAAACCCCTTCAGGTTTCTACTCCCTCTGGCAACACAGCTGCATGGAAGGGAACAAATGCATGCTGCCAGCCCTCTGAGTTCAGGGAGCAAGGAGCTGAGCATGTTTGGGAAGGTAGCTCTTCCTGGGTACCAATTCCTCCTGTCAGTTCAACAAAGATGGCCTAATCAGACTTGTCCTACATGAGAAGTACACCTCCATGACATACGAACCCATTTCCTCTCAGGGAAGTTTTGGGAAACAGCTAGTTATGGGAGCCATGCTTCCATAGCAAAAAGAATTTGGAAGCTGCAAGTTTCCACGAATGTCCCCAGATCTCTAGATTTTGGGGGCTGAACCCCTTGACTGTTCCCTACAGGTTAGGGCACATACTACCTTCTCTCACTGTTAGCATGAAACTGAACTGAAGTCCACATCCCAGGTGGGCCTCTCACCTAAAAGATTATCTAGCCCCTAATCCCATTTGGGTTCTAGAGCAAGGGAAAGTTTTCATTGCTTTGTATGGCAACAAGTTGTTTGCATACTCCCCAGTATTCTACTATGAACGATAATCTATCAGTCTCTCCAGAAATATGGTAGAAATAAGGGAGCTCTAACAACTGTTTCCCAGGGCACCCTTGGGGAGAACCAGGAGTAATGGCCACAAACTCCTGGAAGACCGTTTCAGGCTCAACATCAGGAAAAACTTCTTCACACTTAGACTGTGGAATAGGCTCCTCCCAGAGGTGGTGCAATCGCCTATCCTGGAAATCTTCAAGAGGAGACTGGAAAACATCTTGCTGGAGTCACCTGACCCTGTCTTTCCTGCCTGGTGCAAGGGGCTGGACCCAATGATCTTCCAAGGTCTCTTCCAGCCTTACAATCTATGAATCTAATCCTCTGCTACTGCACTAAAAATGAAACATCCTACTAGCCCTGGAAATAATTAATGTGCCACAATAGTACATGTCATTTCAGTATTTTAAATTAGCAATTTGCTGCCATCTTCTCACTGGCCAGGTCTACATGAGCAACGGACTGAGCAGTCATTTAGTACTTGCATAACCAAGTACTAAATGACTGCACAGTAACCAGTGTTATTGCGCAGTAGCATCCCCGCACATTGTTTTCTGACACTACTGCACAGTAGCTCACTACTACTGCAGGGTAGCATCACACCATAGTTATTGCCCCCAAATGCTACTGTGCAATAGCCAACAAGCTGTTGCATAGTAGCTCGTTGCTACTGCATAGTAGTCTCGTGTTGATGCGCCCCCTGGCCAGGAGAGCTAAAGGCAGGTTTCATCACTTGCAGATGGAGCTTGGCTTTCAGAAGTTTAGATTATGGTGTTTTGAGATGTGGCATCTTATTTGTGATCTGGGTACATAATTCACAGATTCATAGATTTTTAGGGTCGGAAGGGACCTATTAGATCATGGAGTCTGACCCCCTGCCATGGGCAGGAAAGAGTGCTGGGTTCAGATGACCCCAGCCAGGTGTTTGTCACAATCATAACTCACAAACCTTGTCCTTGTTATACAACTTTGCCTGTCCTTAAAGACATCTTTACAGTGATAAGATGCCCCCATCATTATATATATAGTTTAGTTTTGTTTTTTTTTAAATAGACATTCAAGTTTGGGGTACAGCGTCTTATGCAAACAGTACAGTATATCTACAGACACAGAAAAGACTTACAATCACTGATCTATACAGTGCATATATAGCAAACACTACATCAGCAGTATATGCAGTAACTGATTACTACCTTTCTTGCTCTATTTTTTTTAAACTTTAAACCCCAAATTAGACTTTTATAATTAAAAAAAAAAATCACTTTAAACAAAGTTGCAACTTCAGGAAAATTAGACCTTTATCCTATCAAGATCTGCACATTTACTTTTAGCATGCAGGTGGTCTAGTTAGGATCTCGTGTTTAAGTTTAATTCTGTTTGGGATTGAAGATTTCTGTGGTTAAAGACTTAGGGCATGTTCCCATGAGCACACATGTGCAATCTGCTGTGCCTCAAAGCTGCGTGAGGCGCCACAAACCATATGCGGCGCACATGCACCCTTGCACCTGTAGCATGGTGGGGTTTTTTGACACTGGGAGATCCTGGCATCAAAAAATCTGCTGCTACAAAAGCATCACAGCACACATGGCAGCAGTGAACACCACCAGAAACCAAAGCCTGGCTGGCCAGAGCCATGCTTTGGCTGCTGATCAGGCTCTGACCCAGGAAGCCAGGTAAGGCTGCTGAGGCCAGCCAAGGTGCTGGTCCCAGCCTCCCCTACCCCATCTGGGTCCCTTTGCCATGCACCAGCAAACATGTGTAGGGGCATTCCCAGGGACAAATAGCAAATGGCACAAATATATACCCCTGTTATTTTGTTCCCACATGAAATGCACGCCCCTGCACATGCACACTCATGGGGGCATGCCCTTAAAGTCTAATTCTCCCTCTTGCATCCATGTTTGGAAGCCCTGTCACCAAAGAGGAAGTTCTACAGGCTCTTCTTCCTTTCTTGCATCTTGTTCCAAGGAAGCCCCCAACAGGCCTCAGTGAGGTCCCAGATGAACAGCTAGGTTGTTTTTCTCTCCACACTGTGAACACTGCTGTGCAGTGCAGTGGTGTCCCTATGAGCACCACTTCTGCAGGAGGAGCTTGCACGGTCCAGTACAGGCAGGGATCGGTGAAGTCAAGTGGCAGAGTGGCTCCTGCCAATCTTCCAGTATCTACAGAAAACTTGGGAGCTGTCACAATTAGATACATAACAGGGACAGGCCAAAGGCAACCCTCTCATACTGGAATGAGAAATTGCTCCCCAGTATAGGGTCAGCTCATAGAGGGGAACATGGGCCGTAACACTACCAATGTTTGTAACTCTATGAATCACTTCCAGGAGAAAGCATAATAGTCCGTGTAGCACACTGACAATTTGGAACCCTTATCACAGGCAAAAGCATTCTGCAAAATTGCCTGTATCACACTGTCTGTCTACAAACAAAGGTTTTTCTTTTAGAGCTTTTTAAAATGGTAACTAACTAGAAACACAGCATGCCAGGAAAAAGTGTACCCAAAGAACTGGAACTTTAAAACCATCCTTTGCATTCATGCACTTGGAAAGTGAACATAAGAAGCCCAATCACTGACCTTTTCTAATTTTTCAAAGTGTTCTCGCAGGAACTTCATGGGCCGGTCGGGTTTTGCAATGCAGAGGTTTACGATACACTCTTTCAGGATCTGCTGGATGTTATGTTTCTGAACATAGAGCTCGCATCCCTTCAGGCTCTCATCTTCTTCCCCAGTGCAGGAAGAAGCAGCAGCAGCAGCCATCTTCAGGCTTGTAAACAGAAAACAAACCTAGGTGAGAAAATGGTGCAATAAACAATCTCAAAGAGCCTTCTCCAGGTTTTTTCAAAGACACCGGACAGTATGGAAACAAGGCATACATCTCCTCTCTCCCCATCCAGCCCATTTTAATATCCTGGCACTTTTCAGCTCGAAATCGGGCCATCCGATGCCCATCAGGAACTATCAAAAGAGCCTTTTCAGGATCAGACACTGAAAACAAACTGAGCGAGCGATCAGAGGAGCTTCAGAGATGCTCAGGGCCGGCTAGGCAAAAAGACGCACGATGCCCCGCTCTGAGCCCCTCGACGCCTGTCAGAGGGCCGATCTCGTGCCCACCCCTTCGGGGTACAGAAGCACGATGATGGGGGGGACGCGCGCTATCACCTCCCAGGAAGGCAGGCGGGATGGCCCAGGTGGGGAGGGGGGGCCGTGGGATGGCCCAGGGGCCACACAAAAGGCTGCCCCTCGGTGTCTGCCGCTGCAATGTGCCTGGGGGGCTGGGGGGCCGATGGCGAGCAGGGAGTGAGGCTGCTGGCTGCGGGGAGGGGCGATGCTGTGTCCCCGGGGAAGCGCGGCCTGTCCCTGCGGGATGCAGCTGGCTCCGGGCCGGGCGCGGATCCCCGCGGAGCATCCCCCGGGGTCGGGCCGCGCCCGCACGTACCTGTCGGGGGGCCCAGAGGCTGGTTGCCGGGATCCTCCCGGGGGCCGCCGCTGCCCTGCTCCGGCCGCCGCCGCAGGAAGTGCCGGCGCTGTCACTC